GTTAATCCATGTTTAATTCTACTAATAAGGCTGGTTCGTGAAAGTTAATTTAATCTAATGATACCAGTGTAATTGTATAAGGCATTTAGTTATAAATCATTACTCGCCAAGGACCCCCGCCCCCTCTCCCGGAAATCCCTTTCCCTAGAGGCCAAATTCAGTTTATAAGAAACAAATCAAATGGGACCGGGTTCGCCGAACGTTTTATTGATGGGTAAAGAACTGCTGTAAATGGGGAGATAACTCGTTACCCGTCACTGCGAAGGATAATCCGTGTTATATTGGCGCCATCATGTCTGAAACAATTTCTAAAACATCGCCCCAGACGAAATCAAATATTGACTTTGTTTTAGATTAACTTTTGTTCAATAATTATAGGTTTATTGTAAATCAATTGATCATCGATTATATTATTGACATTAAGATGATTTGAAGATAAATATTATTAATAAATCTCTTCCAGTATTCACGTCTGAGTTTAATATAAACCAGACGACATCTATCTCTGATGGCGCCTGGACTATGATGATCGATTATCGATTTTTGATGAGGTTTTATTCGGATATCGAAAGCAATAATTTCTACAGCAAAATCAGATTTAGAACTAACTGACATTTATCTGTGTTGGCACCAAAAATATTAAGTTTTATTATCGATTGTTGATGAATGTTTTATTCTAACAATTATTAATGAATTAAATTTACACACGGTTTATTAATACTAATTATTGATTACAATTATTCTAAATATGCAAGTAGACGACACTTATCTCCATTGGCGACTTCACTAAGATATTTGATAATTGATTTAAATAATTACCCGATACTAATAGGCCTACAATGTATTTTAATTTATTTATATAGATGTCCATGGATCCCGTCTATATCATCAGTTAAACAAAAAAAAAAAAAACAAAAAAAAAAAAAATAAATAAATAAAAAAACCCAAACAAATCAGAACAAATAGATAAAAATAATCTTATACAAGTGCTTAGATTTCAACGGTTTTATGTTCAGAAGTTCAGATTGATGTCTTCTGTTTTGTTTGTAATCTTCTGCTGAAGTAAATACGTGTTCAGTCAGTAAGGGGTAACAGCACGCATTACTTCTAAATTAACCCTTTCACTACCTGAACAATATGCACACAGGTAAACAGTTTAATACATAACGAGATTTAACGAATCTGTAAGATTCAATAATATCGAAGTTCAAAGAGTTAACAAGATATCCATTTACACTGACATATTTATATAATGTATAATACGTCTTTACAATTAAAACGCGCTCTGTTGAAAGGAGATAACAGCGTGATTCCATAAACCTAAATTAACCCTTTAACTACTTGCTTGCATAATCATTTAGATCTAACTAAATCATCTAAAGACGGATAATATGGACTAAATACTATGCCATTTTAAAGGATTTATAACATTATATTTAAAGATAAGTATATCTTATTTTGATCATTCAGGACTATTATTATGTAAAATTTTACAGATAGAATGTCTAAATTATGTCTTGTATTTTAATTTTCAGTGACATTATGAAGTTTAAATTTGATTAAAATAAATTTGACGGCCATACTACAAAACGTCTTTAATGGCGGACACGGCGCAAAAATATATTGGGACCACTTCATCTCCTCAATTTAGAACATTTGAGTACAGTTTCGTAGACAGTTTAACTTTGAGTTCAGGGTAAGATAAGTCAACGAAGTGATTCGCCATGTTTTATTTATTCCAGGACCGGATGAAGTCCGCATATGACCCCTATCTGAAAATGTCACTGATGCCCTTGCATCAACGGTGACAAGAGGATATATTCTGGTCATTGTCCATCATACGCACGCAATAAACTCAGTATAGTAGAGAGATAGATTTATTTGGCTATATGGGACACACAAATCTTTTTATAACTTATTTTGGGGCAGGCTTTAATCCAGTCCCGAATGATTCCTCAGTCACTAGATTTATTTACTTTCAAAGAATAAAAAAGCAAATTATATTTTAGTTAAACAAACAACCACTATGGGACAATATGCCATTATACCTACAAAATTACATAACGTTTTATACGAACGTTACATATTTAGGTAGAAATAACTATCCACACCACAAAATGTAAAGCAGATAAAATTTTCACAAAAAAAAAAAAAAAAAAAAATGTGTTATATAGAACTTAACTACACATTTATCAATATTATTATATAACAGTTTAACCAATATATAGATGTGTGAAAATATAGGATTGTTGGACGTAGTTTTATTATTAAAAGTATTAAAGATAATGATCTAATCTTATTGTGATATTAATGCGATTATCTATTGATATTTTAATTGATCTAATTATTTATGTTACATTTTTTCGTAAAATATCGAAGTGAATTATTTTTCTAAAGCTTTCAATAGTTATTTGTAACCGTATTTATGTCTTGTTGTTTTAGTTATCCGATTCGATATAACCGTTCTGTCGTTTGTTGTTTCGTGTAAGTCACTTTTTACTGTGTGGTGGAGAGGGGGGGGGGGGCTGTCTTTTTTTTTTTACAAAATCGATACAACCTATTTTATTCGATATATTTCCTTCTTTGTCTTTTTCAGTAGTCCTTTATAATTTTTTTTAGTTACTAGTTCGATGTAACCTTAGTTTTCTGTTTTCACTAGTTAGGTGTAACGGTATACAAATGTAACTCTTAACAGAAGATTAAGACAGTTCCAAAATAAATAGACCCAAACTGGATATATTTCCTTCTTTATCTTTTTCACTAGTCCTTTATATTTTTTTTTCAGTTACTTGTTCGATGCAACCTTAGTTTTCTGTTTTCACTATATTTAGGTGTAACGGTATACAAATGTAACTTTTAACAGAAGATAAGACAGTTCTAAAAAAAAATAGATCTAAACTGGACCTTATTTACCGATCTTTCCATTAGCCATCAAAATACAAATAAAATAGGTTAGGGTAAAGAATAGGACATTTCGGACTGTGTGGGATACACCCACTTTTAACAATAAAACAGATGACACTGATTGATGAATATACTATTTTGTAAATGTAATTAATAATCCTTCAAATGACCATCGCTTTTTACCCATATGACACTTATATTCTTTATATAAACAAAATTATCAACCAAATGAACAGATTGAAGGTGTATATTTCCCTATTTTATTTATATTTTATATTCAATACCAATTAAATGAACATCTCATTAATCTATTAATTAAACCATAAATTAAGTAAATCGATGGTGACACTCATTGGATATACGGCGAGCTTTATAGATAAATGCATACTTCATTATGAAGGTAAAGGTGAGGTATATAAGAGTAAATTATTAATTTCAAATGAGCATGTAATTAATCTCGAATTGATATCATATGCGATGACACTCATCCGATTTGATAAAACCGAACGAAGCAGCTAGCGTCACGTTCAAAATGAGCAGTTTTAGTACTTTCTTAATTAATTATTCAGCAGGTCTGGGATCGCTGTAAAAGTTACTCGTGTAGTACTCAAGACAGGATATGCGTACTTAATATAACTCCCGATTCACATATACATAACACACATTCTTTCTAACTTTGGTACAGTAATGTATTTAAACCACGGGGCGGATGGGACGAAAAACCGAGGTCCCGTGTGAACATTAGCGTGCACGTAAAAGACCCCTTGACAGATTGAATTCGATATAAGAGTAAGCCGTAGTGCCGCTGTCCGGACAATATTTCCCTCATAGCACACTGTACGGCGTATGACCGTCTTCATTAGCCCAGTTCGGAGCAGAACAGTAGGACGTTAAAACCCATTTCATTTTATTTCATTTCTATTGCCGAGGTTATATTTAAGCTACCAGCCTCGTTTTCCGAGATCACAGTCCAAACTACGTTAAAACGTTTATATCCCAATGATGGACCGACAGATTTAACATCAATCCAAACTAAATGTCCCCATTGTAACTATAAAGTCAAATCACGTCAAATAAACGCTAAACCCCATTTGATTTCATTTATTGGCAAAGATCTTCATAGTGCTTCTGGAACATGCAACCATGTGGTTACGGACCTCACTCGTTATGCAAGATCCCGCCTTTATAGACTTTTAGCAGTACTATTAGGACAATAGTATGAATTGTAAAGTATATACAGGATCTCCGCCTGAGAAAATTTTGAAACTTTGATTCAATTTCCTGGCAACTGAGGTCATTGCTGGGAGTAAATTCTTGTGAACGAGGGGAACACAAATGGGTCAGAATCTCGAGATCTGCCTGTTTTGTGAGAGTTGACAGAACATTTGTACAATCTGTTGCTGTGAATATGATAGTGATGAGATAGTATAAGATCACAAAGGAGTGGAAGAATGATGACGCATATGTAATATATTGAGCTTTTAATTTTTTGGGATTGGGTCTGCTTTCTTTGTCTGGTGGGGGCTCTTACTTGGTATTATGGGGCCGGGGGGAGTGTTACCTTAAATCTGCGCCTGGATAGTGTGTGCAGTCAGAATGCAATAAAATTAATCTCATCAAGAAATTATGATATGTGCACCTGCTAAATAATCATACTGTTGCATACCAATATTACATATTTTGGAAGATATGGGTAACAACACAACAAAAGCCAATTCAAGTGGTTTCGTTTTGCTTTCTCTAGCGGCATACCCACTTCAAGCTTTAAGTTTCGAATAGATTAAATATTTCAAACAAGCACCTGTTAATAAATTATTTGTTGAAATTATACCTTGGACTGTTTCCTTAAAATTGACTGAATCTGGCTGGCTTCACCCTACTCGTTGGGTGCCAATTTTCTGATCATTGTTCCAGAATAGTTGGTTTGTCCAACCATTTTATACAGTTGCCGTGGTTTCCCCTTGTCAGTGATGCAGAACGGAGGACCTGACAAGGCCAGCTGTCTAGTCGTTCGGATGGGATGAAAAACCAAGCACCCAACTTTATCTCTATTGATATAGTTATCAACATTACTGGTAAATATAAACAAACATTCAGACCATACACATTAAATTCATATTGCTCCAAATATTATTATAATCATCAAATATTTACATTACTTTCGATTGATTTCACCCCCAGCTCTGTGGTCTTGTCAACCAAGGATGACTCATTTGTATCTAATGGTATTTAACCTTATTTTTTTTAATTCCACCTGTCTAAATTGCTAATTGGAAACAAGTTTTGTATACTTCAAATAAGGAATTTTTTTTACCGGGCCTTTGATGCATAACAGCTTTCTTGATTTAAAAAATATGTTTACTGGCCCCCTGGTCCATAAGATTAGGACAAAATATGCAGGCCAATAAAAGATTTCATTATTACAACAATAGAAAAAGAAGGGCTAAATTTATTATTCATATGGTTATTAAAGAAATATTATGTAAGATTCAGATAAAGAGCTTCCCATAGTCTAGAGAGTTGATTATGGTCTTGTCATTTTAATAAATGACTAATTAATAATTTAAATAACATTTGAGGCCAAAAAAAACCCTGCAATAGGCATACTTAGCCCTTACATAATGCATCTTTAAAAAACCCCAGAAAAGCTACAACGTAGTTTCGGTAATTAATCTGTTGACATAGATGTAAGCTGATACCAACTCAAATCCAAGATCTTCATCACAGGGGAATAAGACAAAACAATCTATGCTAACAGCAGAACACTTGATAATTGAGCCTCAAGCTTTCTAAACCACTGTCTTGAGGGGGCCGATTCAAAAACATTCTAAACCACTGTCTTGGGTGGACTGATTCAAAAACATTTTATAACATAATATCGTCATAAGGTTGGATGAAGTTTTGAACTTCTCCTCTGTCTTTTTTCTGTCTTCTACTGTTAAAATACAAGTTAAACTTATGTCTATCACTTTCATCACTACTATAACATCACTCTTTGATTAAATAACTTTGTAATGAGTTTAGTTCGTAGATCTTTGTTCTCTGTTTCTCCGTGTAATGGTAGAAATGTTATCAAGCCTTGAGACATGATTAAATTACTTTCTTGTTTTTCTACATGGTGAATCTGTAAATAGAAAATAAGATACACATACATAAATTACAAAAGAATTTGAAATCAACCGCTAGGTTGCCAGGCAATGAAACATATGATCTCACCAGACAAGGCTGTTACATTGTGATTCTTGTATTATAGAGTAATTATTAAACACTAAAAAGTGATCAAGGGCCACAACCAATGAATAAATTATTGGGAATAATTAACAGGGGTTTCTCAAGTTCCCTAGTGCATCTCCAATAAACAATGTTGTCAGTACTAACCAAACCATAAAATCATGGTCAAGAAAGCAACTTTTATAATAATCTATTATGAATTATGTCCAAAGGTAAAATGTGAAGCTCCCACTAGGCCCAAAGATTTTGATATTAAACAGGTCATCTCATGATCATTGATAATTATAACCTACCTGTTTTCTAATATAATGCACCATTAGTGCCAGTACTTCTGGATCAACTTGTTGTTTCTCAAACACGGTTCTCCACACTGATCCTGCTAAAACTCTGTCATCACCCAGTAAACCCTGTAATATACATATAGTTCTTGATACAAAATGAGAATAAAAGTGCAGGTTTTTTATTAAAAGGTAGGTTATTCCATAGAAGTAGTGTCTGAACTCTGAAAGAGCCTTAACTATATGTACTAAAACTTAAAAGATTAGCCGTTATAGGTCAAATTTTGATCACTTTGTATGATATGCTAAGTTAGCTAATACATACACATAAAAGCTATAAACAGACAGGTACATTTCAGTTAAAATTATTGCACAGATGACCAAAGAATATAGAAAGAGAAATGGGGTGTCCACTTGACACAAACTAGGTCATTTTGGGACTAATTTATGGTTCAATTTCATTTCAAAATTCGCTTGTGTCACGTACAGCCTGGGATACAACGCACGCATGTTAACCATTCGGCCATCCAACTCCCCCAAAGAATAGAGGAGGTCCTGCATATTCAAATTGTTGCACATGAAAGATCCTGTGACAGTTAGAAATCGATATAAAAGTAAAGTGTGGCTCTGTGGTACTGGGAAAATTTTTCTCATAGCACACTGCATGGGGGATGCTTGTTTTTGTTAGTCGTTTAGGCCCAGATAAGTATGATGTTCAACCCCAATTTCATTTCAGTTAATAATAAAGATAATTTGCTCACCTCATCTAAATTAAATAAATAAGCACGTAACATATCATTGTAATGTTGTAAAGCTCTTCTTTGTGTTCCACCTGGTACTTCTTTCTGTAAAACACAAAATATTTAAACATGTCTTTTTTTTTTGAGAACAACACTGTATGGGCTAAAATGAATAGATGGGAGGTAATTACACTTCATCGAAAAGACTGTTATATTAAAAATTGTCTGCCTCCAAAAACAAAAAAATGAAATGAAATGGGGTTTAATGTCCTACTGCTCCGACTTGACTAATGAAGATGGACATACACGCAATACAGTGTGCTATGAGAGAAATTTTGCCCGGGCAACAGCACTATGGCCTACTTTTATATCAAATTCCAGCTGCCAGGGGATCTTTTATGTGCATGACAATGTATTCATGGGACCTCGGTTTTTCGTCCCATCCGAACAACTAGGCAGCTGTTCTTGTCAGGCCCTCCGTCCTGCACCACTGCAAGGGGAAACCACTATGGAATATCCTGATGAACTTATCGGCCAATGCAGGAATCGAACAGAAAACTAACATAAAGAAATGTACATAAACGCATAGGAAGCGGTCAATGCAGGGATCGAACAAGCGACCTCGAGGCTAGCGAGCTAGCTTCTTACCCACTTAGCCACCGTAGCTCCCTACAAATACAATTGGCAGATAACAAGAAGATATGGGCTTTAAATGTGTTTTGATTCTAACCAGGAAATTCACCGATTGTTATTAAATATAAATTGCTGGACCATCTCCTTTGATGTGTAATTTTCAGTGCACTACATTTATTCACATTAATTGGCAAATAAACAAAATGTCAACATTATTTTCTGGGGCTTCTCAAACAAAATTTCTCACCCCTAATTGTTTTCCTCTTTTCTGTATATCTTGCCACATTGCTTGAACCAAATTCTGACGAAGTATTTTACCTTCTTCACCCATGTTGGATAATCTCACCATACATATCCTAAAATAACAACACAGACAACAATATCAATATATATATTCTAAAATAACAACACAGGCAACAATCTCACCATACATATCCCAAAATAACAGCAGACAACAATACCAATATATACATCCTAAAATTTTAATAACAAAATAGGCAACAATCTCACCATACATATCTTTCAATAAACCAAAATAGCAATTTCACCATAAAATAACAATTCAACTTTATATAAGGGACAATCTTTCAACAGTATTCTTGACCATCAAAAATATTTTGAATACCACAACTTATGCAGTAGAGACTTACCATACATGTAAATCTAGAAGTATAACCCAGGAATTAAAGGTATCTGGTAAATTTATTTCTGTAAATAAATAAACAATTTATTATTAAATACACTTAACATAACCATTATTTAGATCTTTGGTAAGATTACCAGATTTAACAAACTGACATTGAAATTAATAAATAGTCTAAAGAAATAATCTGTCAGTCAATATAAATGCTCTAAAATTAAGTATTTCTACAGAATTCGGTTATATCATTTTAGTGTATAGACTGTTGTTTAGTTGGTTAATTACACAGATCTAAGTACAGAAACATTTCAAGAATGGGCTGAAAAGGTAGCTTATCAATATAAAGATTGAGGTGTGAAATCAATAGAAACCAACGTAAATGTCTGATTAATATTGACAAAAATGTTATTAATAAAAGTTCTATATTTAACGTTTATTCATAAATTTATCTGTTACATAGGCAAATAATGAAAGACTGAACAGGTATCATAAATCAATCTAATTTTGGAGACAAAAGCTCATTGATGCTATTGCTACTGTCAGAAGTAGAGTGAAATAAGATTTTGTGCTAACATGAACATACAGATATTTAATGAAAGTAAATAGCCATTCTTATAATATCCACATATATATTAATTCATTAAACATGTTTACCTTTTACAAATTCTTCTAGGTCAAGTTGATCTGTTATACATATATACATTTTATATCCAGCTAAAGCCAAAGACTACAAAAGAAAAAAACAACATAATCAAATAAAAATTTTTTAGTAATATAATGTATATACATTGTATTGTAGATTACAATCATTGCCCTTTTCCATGTGGGGAGGAGTGGTCTAATATATATCTTTTAGAATATAAGGTCTGTCATTGAGCTAGATGGTTTCGATGACAAGCTTTATGTGAAAAGGAGTTGGGGTGCACTGTGTATGTCAGTCCCAAAATGTGTTAATCTGGGGCCTGTTTCACGAAATTTTAACTAAGATAAAATCCAAATTTTAGTAATTTGATTGGATAATATTAGATTGATTTTAGAGCTTAGCCAATCAAAATTGAAGTATCTACTCAAATTTAGATTTTATCTTTAGTTAAAATTTCGTGAAACAGGGCCCTGATGTTAAATCACATTTCTCTCTATAACGAAATAATAATACCTCACCGGATGCGAGCAGTTCTAGTATTATAGTATGGTATCACTTTTACCTACCCTTTTTGGTATGGTCAACTCAGGGCCAAGTATTTTATTTTTAACCTTTGACCACATAGATGAGTTTTCTGCTGAAGCGGTCTGAAGAAACTATAAAATAAATTAATAAAGACTAGATCTCTTTGCTTTGGGTCAAATATAAATTTGTCCATTTCATTGGATTTTAAATTTTGAATGTTTCATGGGATGACAATCTGTCTTTGTTGAAAATTTTATAGATAAAGTATAGATAAAGCCAGTGTTGAGATATAAACTGATTTTGTATTCTACTGTTGACATACATGAAACTAAAAATAAGTAAACAAGTTTAATCTGTTGAAACAAAAATTTAATACTCCATAACTAAAATTGTACTAAAACATCAGACAAAATCTGTTAATGAGATTTAAAACCAACTTTAATACTATCTGGAACCAACTTTAATGACAAATCCAAGTAGAAGAAATTGTGGAGAGTCTTGATTTATGTGTGGTAGAGATAATAACACTATTTGGTGTAAGATCGGACAATTTGCTTAAACAATCTTACCCTTGTACTACATGTAGAACAGACTAGTGGAGTAAACTGTAGCAATGACTGACTAGAAGGTTTTAATCTGGCTTCCAGAGGTTGAATTTGTAAAACTGGATTCAATGTGTGCTGAAATAAAGGACAATTGTCAATACATACATAGGTAAATAAAATCATTAGGCATACTATTGTTTTATGCATGTTCAATCCAGCAATGCATTTTCTTAAAGTTTCTTCAAGTCAAATAATCAAGTCCTGATTATCCATTTTTGCATTTAATCATCAATGAGTGTTCAGCAGCAGATCGGATTCAAATCCAGTGAAAATCAAACACATTAAGATGGCATTGAGAGTTGATAGGTCTTTTCATTTTAATAAACGTCTAATTAATAGCTTATATAACTTTTAGGGTCTAAAGAAAGGCCTGCAATAGGTAGATTTAGCTCTTGCATAATGTATGTTTAATACTAGTTTACTACATACATAATACATTTAACATACTAATTACTATAGGCCGATAGGCTTTTTGCACTGATTTATTAATATACGGTACGTTATTTTGTTAAAATATTCATGCTCACCAAACTTCTTTGACTTAGATTTGAACAAACAAAATTTAGCCTTCTAAGAGAAAACTTTGACCATCCCAACACATTCATTTTCAAATAATTTTCTATATATTTCTACAATTTATAATAAATAAGTTCCAAATGAAAAAGTTATATAATTTCAGCCATTTGTAAACTCTCTAGTGAAGAAGTCATTACAGGTGCTCGGCCTCCTGCATCAAATATAAGATCACTGTCTAAAATGAGAAAAATCTCAATTTCATTTGTATCTTTCGACAAAATAACAGTTTCAGGACATTGCCAATATTTTTCAGATATAGCAGACATAACGAATTAAACCGAAAATTACATTTATTATTAAATTGTTCTGTATATAAGCGACGCACAGGAAACGGAAACCAAAGCCAAGGTCGTCAGCGATGTAAACAAATGACTTTTGGACTGTTAATAGTAGTGAAAAATAAACAGATAAATTGACAAGCTAAGCGTTTTATTGTTGGTCAGTCTCATTACGGTTTGTATATTTACTCGATTATAAGTAATCGCAAAACATTATCATATGCAAAGCTGCTGTTTTTTGTCTAAATAAGTTCGAAAATATTGCCCGGGGTTGTGATGCATTGCCTTGAATGTATGACAACTCATCCCAAAGACAACTAACTCATCCCAAGACCACTCGGCTCAATAGAAGACAACCCATCCCAAAGATAGGAGACCACTCATCCCAAGGTTAGAAGACCACTCATACTCAATTTATTGTTTTTTTATTTATCATTATTTATAAAATTAATATTATATTAATTTATATAGTATACAGTTTATAATTAAATTTAAAGGGGCATTATATTATGGGAGATTAGATAAATATCGCAGACTAGCGATGGCATCGAGAGTTGGCTATGGTCTGCATAAGTTAATTAATGTCTAATTAATAATTTAAATAACATTTCAGGCCAAAAGAAATACCTGCAATAGTCAGATTTAGCTCTTACATAATGTACATGTATGTTTAAATAATAATTTTTTTTTTTTAATTAATATCTATTCAAATCGATGGGTTTTTTTTATTTAGTTTTTTCTTCAATTTAACACTTCTTTAATCGGATTTCACACAAGGGAAATCATCAATTGTAATACTGTCTCACCTGAAATAGAATTTAAAGCCGAATAACTAACCCAAATCATTACAAATAACATATCAGCATCTGAAATATGATAAGGAATAAAGCATTATTAGAAGTTAAGATTTGGTAGTTTTCTTTCTATCAAGCAATGTTGAAGGGTAAATGTATGAGGTGGGGGCTTGTGAATGGAAGAACTGTAGTGCCAAGTACATGTAGCAACATAATTGTTTCTAATTGATAGGGTGAAAACATTTGAGACTAATGACAGAAAACTGCGAGACTTACACACCAGGAAAAAGTAGGGAGAATGTAAACAAAAGTGATGACATCCATATGGGCTATCGAGAAGCTTTTGTTGTGTTTTGTAGAAAATGATAAAATGTTATGATTTTATTTCCATTCTTTATCTAAATCTGATGTTGTGTTTTGTAGAAAATGGAACAAGAGAATGAGATGAAGTCTGAGTTTCACACAGTCACTGGTTGTGTTACTCATGTTTTAAAGTTTGGAGAAATTCCAAAATTGAAATCTAAATCTAAATTCCTCTTCTTTGTCATACCAGGTAATGTGTACATAATAATTATGTACATGGCTTTTTTCTAGTCAAGTCATGGATTAAAACCCATACTTTTATTTGAAAAAGGATAATGGTGTCAGAGAAGGCTATATCATCATGGATTTGTCTACTGTCCTCCCATTTCTAAAGCCCCCCTCCCCCTACCCCTACAATCCCCACCTCAACCCATGTGTGCAGTGTAATTACTGCAAATATAATAATATATATGCATCTCTCACTCTCTCTCTGGGAGGCATAATTTATACAATGGTATTTCAATCAGCCTTAATTTCTAAGAATGTAACAAAATTTGATAAACAGAGATTGGCATATTAATTTGTAGTTTAAGAGTGAAAGTGAAATTGTCATTCAATATTTCTTGGTATTTGTTTCTAGTTGTATGTGGTACTGTCCTACTACACTTTCTATCTCATAAATGTACATATATATTTAATTATTATGGACTAACTTTTTTCTTAATATTTCAGGTAATCCTGGAGTTATAGAATATTATGAAGAATTTATGAGACATCTGTATCACCGAAGTAACAATAAAATACCTGTATGGGGAATGTCTTACGCTGGTCATGTCTCTATTGGTAATGATGGAACCGGTTTTACTGAATTAGGTAAGTTTCGGTGTGGAATTTGACACCTTGCCTTTAGGTGTACATGAAAGACTTTTTCTGTGGGTAACATTTACTTACTCCATGTATAGTGTGCAATGTCAAGAAGATAAATCCAAGAATGCAATATTTTTTCTAAGTGGTTGTTTACTTTAGGGGTTCAGGGCCCGTTTATGTCCATGTATAATGAATGACCAGACACATCCAATACCCATTCACATGATCTGATATAATACATTTGTTATTCATTGTGTCTATGCCATGGGGTGTGTCTTGTGTAATTGTTTATGTGTCGTGCTGTCCTCTGCACTTACTATTTGATTAGGATAAAAAAAAATAAAAGTGCCGATTTATTTAAAGTTAATGTTTTGATTTGCTTTGGTTTATACTAAATATATATGTATATCTATGCTATTATTCCAAATTAATCATATGTAGTTTCTTGGTGGGAATGATAATGCTCCTTCAATTACTAAAAAACATAACCATAATAATAATAGACAGTTTATGAATACAATACAGATAATCTCAATGAAACACAGAACAGTAATTTAATACCCTGTCTAGTACATGCACCTGTCACACTTATTAGCTTTGATTTTTGCCTTGTATGAACTACATCTATGAATTTATTTTAATTTGTTTACAGTAAAACAACCACCTGAAGAATGTACTTTACTAGGGCAAATCAGACATAAGCTTGCATTTATACAAGAATGTATACCAGAAGATATAAAACTTATTCTCATTGGTCACTCTATCGGATGTTACATGATTTTACGATTGTTGAAATACCTCCCTAAACATCAAGTCTTACGATGTTTCTTATTGTTTCCGACAATCGAACGAATGGCATTATCCCCTCGAGGTCAAATCATTACGCCCCTCCTGCATTATTTACGCTGGGTGTGTGTTTGGTTCGTAAAGGCTGTGTCCTATCTCAGTCCCCAGATGCAATATCGAATTATATTAAGGATTTTTAAAGGAAATACAGTCCCCGAATGTGCGCTGAATGCGACAATGAATTTGTTTGATCCGGCTTGTGTAAATCACATTACTTATCTCGCACGTGATGAAATGGACATGGTTACTGATTTGGATCAGGATCTAATCCGAAACAATATTTCAAAGTTAAGTTTTTATTACGGAGCAGAGGATCATTGGTGTCCTAAGGAATATTGTTATGAAATGAAGAGGAATTTCCCCCACGCAGATATTCGTCTTTGTGATAAAAACTACGCTCATGCATTTGTACTGAACTCTAGTCAAGAAATGAGTAAAATTGTTTGGGAATGGATTCAGAAAGATTTACATCACAAGGCAGATTAAAGTGGTAGTGACCCTAGACACATTAAGTGTAGTTTTGTTATAGATACATATAGCTTATCTCGCAAAAAGTTTTCAACTGATTCTGATAATGTTTTTGTTAATTTTCTTAATGTGTGGAAGTATTGGGAAGAGATTTGATTGAGTCATTTTGTTTTTTTATAAAGAGCAGGTCACTGTTTTCTAGTATCTTCCAAAGAAATGTGACAGTCTATCTATCTGTCTATATATCTGCATTTAATCCTAATTTCAATCAAAAGTACTCTTTTTAATATGATTGGATCTCTTTAATTTGGGTCAAAAATAAATTGTCCATTTTATTGCATGTTATATTTTGATTTCTTTTGAGGGATGACAATCTGTCTTCCAAGCTAAGAATGGAATTAAAATTACAAATTTGTAAATGAGCCTGCTTGATCTTTAAAACAAAAATTTAAGCGCATCCATCATCATTAATCAAAATAGCACATCAAATCGACCCAATTTATTACATTATCTATTCATCTCAATTATTTTTATATGGGTAATGGATTTACTTTAAATAATTAGTTTATACTAATTCTTTTTTGTATTATTAAAATATTTTGTTGTAATAGAGTAACCAGTTGAAACCTTACACTAGACACAATATTGTAGTTTAAAATAAGCTCATTTAAATTTAACATATTTTTGTATCTTATAAAAATAAACTAATTTTAAAGGGGGAGTGTGATTAGAACAGCCTTGTTTTGTTTATCCTAATCCTAGTGCTACACCACACCATAAATATTATGTATTTTCTGGAACTGTAAAATGACACACCCTAAATTAGTTGTTATGTTGTATGAGTGTGTACAAGTGGGAAATATCACTGTATTAGAAATTGGTGATTTTTCTTCACAATATACAGTAATGTGTCAAGAATAAAATTGAAGAATAAGTTCTTGCTCATACTCCCCATTTAACTTTCTATGTTATCAGATTACATTTTTATGTACCTGTCAGTATTATTTTTGTTGCACATCTTCCAGTACATAGCCTATATGCATTTATAGATTAATTGATAATACTCCTTTATTTAACAAACTTTATTTATTATTAATTATAGTTTAAATCTTGTTTTTGTTGCAAGCCTACTTATAACTATACCCTGTAGTTTTTGATAATACTTTTTTGACAATTTTATATGAACTTATTATCAATTTTAGTTTAAATTATTTCTAATGCTAATGTATTTAAATCTATTATTCAACTTGTGACCTAAAAGGCACAACTGTGAGATATTATGAGTATCCAGCTAACCCTGGATATAAATAAAGATAAATGACAAGTGGTGTGAGGAGTTCTGTTAAAATGAGAAATCACTGACTCATGCATGACAACTGTCACCCACAACTAAGCAGAACATGATTTGTATACTCAGAAGCCTAGTTCTAGTCAACTGTCTAATAAATAATATATATCATTTATGATTTGTTATGTTCTGAAATAAAAATAGATAGGACAATGAATTGGGACTTGAATGGTGGTGTAGATCCTACTCATAATTGAGATTATGCTGATTGGTTGTCAATAGAAACAGAAGTGATACAGATATCTTAATAGAGTCCCAGGATCTGATGTTAGCTGTCACTTAAGACGACAAGCTTGCAACATAACCATTTTGTCCATGCATAGAATGCACAAATTGTTTGCTAAATGATTGCTAAATCACCAGTTGGAAACAGCAGGATGTTCAATATGATTATTTAGATGACCAGAACCGATTTTCATGGGAAAAGAACCCTAGACAATGGCCACCAGGCAACTCATGTAATTATAATTGAGCATTGTATCGATATCTATCTGGGAGGTAAGACCCTGGCCTGCTAGCTTGGAGGTCGTGCGTTAGATCCCTGATTTGGCCTAGAAAGTTCATCAGGATTTTCCGACATGGTTACCTCATGTCAGTGGCACATGACGCATTAATATCCAGGTGATGGCTAATATAATTTGGGCATGATGTAATAAAAAGATGACTGTAGGAACAAGACGCACGAGAGAAGGAGAGAAAAATGGGGTTAAATGTCCACTTGTCACAGACTAGGTCATTTTGGGACTAACAAATGGCTCAATCTTATTTCAATAATTCAGGGTTATTAGTAGTTGGAGGAACCCAGAGAAAACTAACAAGGTTTGGAATGTGACCCTACTCCTTGTTACCTACAAGCTTGGGAAATGGAACAGTGCCACTTGACTCAATTACAGAACTTATAATCTAAAGTGCAAACGTTAAGACCACTCCACCACCTCCACAAACAGATGTTGAGATTTGAAGGCATTTCGGTAGGTTCTATCCAAACTATCGGAAAAAACTTTATTTGATGCAATGGTAATTTTAAAAGGTGTTTCAACATTCACAATATTGTGACAAGTTGACCAGCTCATTTCATTCCACACCAAATTATTATTTACATAAAAAATACAAGACAATTGTTTAAATTCTTTATATTTTAACTAGTCAGTGTTCATAAATAAATAAAATAAAATAAAAAAAATGAAAGAACACAATTTGTTAAAGATTAATAGTGAAGGATAATGGTGAAGAAACATGTAAAATGAAAATATTATTATGTAAAATGCTAGAATGAAAGCCCACTATATGTTTATATCACGAGTCAATTAAAAGTTTAATGCACTCTATCTTTGTTTTGTGATTCAAATGCTAAATGTCAAATATAAAAAGGGATGTAACTCTGCACGATTTAAAATTTGGTACTTGCTGACTTTGTAGTGCAATTCAAATGCTAAATATCACATTAAGAATAAGAGAAATAATTCTATATATTACAATCCGTGACCAACTTGCATCTGTTTAATTTTAAACCTTCTCAATCCCCATTTATCGCTTTAACTGTAGGTACCATACTTTACAATCGTAGTGAAATGACAAAATTATTGTCAGGTGTGTTCTAAAATATGTAAGTGCATGATTTGAAAGTTATTCCTATCTAACTTGTGGTTCAAATGCTAAAAATATCACAAAAAAGGGACATAATGCTACATGATTTATACATAAATTAATGTTCTCTAACTTCGTAATGTGATTCAGATGCTAAATAAATATTGCACAAAACACACATATTAAGTCAACCAGCAAACCATGAAATATGAAAACAAATCAAATGCATGAAGTTTCTTGATTTGAGAGATACAAAGTGCTTATTTTCTCAACAAGAAAGATGTGCTGAAAATGTGGAGAACATTTGTATATTATCTTAAAATATAAAAAACTAAACCTGAAAAGTTAGTTACATTAAATTGTATATATGTATTTAAAAATTGATGATGTTCAAATTCTAATGGAATATTCATACAAATTCTAATTTACATGTCAATACAAAGACAACTAATTGCAGATTCAATAATTTTTGCACCTGGGGTAAGGTGGGGCTATCCCTTTAAAAAGGTACATATTTTTATCCCAAGCAAACTGATGTGAAGTTATTTTTTGACTATGCCCATCTAAATGACAAATCAATATTTTAGTTTTGTAGTTGCCACAGTGTAATTGTCATTTGTAAGGAGGCATCAAATCCCCTGGCCAAACCTAAAGCACTTGGATCTGCCCTTAACAACAACTATATAAACCCATATAATATCATCATCATCATAATAAAAATCTCTAACATTCTATAATAAACCAATAATAAAAATCTCTGACATTCTAAATAACACTAGAAATGAGAAACAGTTCTTAAACTAATATAACACTGCAAACTTGTCATGAATATTGTTCAGCTACATATTGTGATTATAAGCTTACAAAATTAATTTTTTTCCTCAAAATTAATTAATTCAAACTTGCCTGTACCGTAATTCTATCTTTCCTGTAAGTTATAACATTATTAGTTTATATAAACTTTACGGAGCTTTATTTATTTGTCTTAGGTCGAGCCACTTGTTTAGACATCCAGCACTATAATACATGTAAGACAAATATTATCATTAATTATTATTAGTAATATCAAAGTACATAATATAATAATAATTCTGCTATCTATGTTTTCAAGAAAGCCCATACTTCATATATTTTTTCTTTTCAGTCTCCAGATATTCTTAATTAAATCATAATAAACGTCTTATTTTCAAATATTTGTGAACCATCTGGCTTGCAGGTCGTCTCGTAAGTCAAAGGACATGTTAATTAATGTTAAAATATCTATAATCTAAAAATTAAAGTGAGAGTCTCACTTTTGTCAAAAGCTATTCTTAAAAAATCCTAAGCTAACCAAATTCTCATTTTATAATATACCTCTATAAAATACTGTTTTTGAAAATATTTGCATAGTTGAGCTCGTTTTAATATATATTTACTTCCTTTTAATTCTCCAAATTTTACTTTTAAATTAAGACATATAAACTGCTCCTTTTGTAATTCACACAGAATGCAACAGTTGCATTTGTAATTCACAAAGAATATCATGATTCATATCTTGTAATCCACACACATAGAATGCTATAAATCATATTTTGTAATTTGCACACATACAATGCTATGAATTGTATTTTGTAGTTCACATATAGAATGCTACAATTTTACTAGGCTCCTATTGTTAATGTGAGATATTGAAAATTGAAATCACACAATGACTGTACCTATTCCTAACACATACATGTACATAGAGTGCATGGGTCCGATTCCTTGAGAAAAACTGTTTTTGTTTTTAGTTTACAGTCAAAGTGTACTACAAGCCAGAATCAAGGATAAAAACATAATCAACAAAATCTATTGTAATTGTAGTAATAATTAACGAACTGATAATGGTGGTAACCATTGTTTCATCGGTACTGCTTGTTGTATGTCTATAGGAAAGTTCCACAACAAGGGTAACCTTTTCTACCTTATTTTCAGGGTTAAAAATCTTTCTTCTTAAATCTACTATACAATTCAATTTAACCCCAAATCTTCATTTAGGTATACTCGTAATAAAAATTTGTTCTTCATTAACTTAACAATTCAATTCAACTTCCAATCTTCAATGAGGTCTATATCTTTAAGCTTTAATTTCTTCAGTAATTTAACAGTTTACTTTAACAAAATATCTTCATCAAGGAATTTCAATAACTAAAAAATTCATTTTAACCACAAATCTTCATTGAGGACTATACTCTTAAATTTGTTCTACATTAACTAAACAATTTAATTTAACCTCCAATCTTCAATGACGACTGTAACTTTAAGCTTTACTTAAGTTTTAACTTTCTTCAGTAATTTAAGAGTTCACTTCAACAAAATATCTTCATTGAGGAATTTCTTCAACATTTTTGCTGTCACAATCATGGAGTTCTTTATCACCATGCTGAAACACTGAATCTACAAATTGTGTGAACCATCGATACATGTAATTTGTATGTCTTGGAAACAAGCCTTCTAAAAATCCAATATGGCCACCATGTGATGTTACAACTAGTGCAATGTTGTCATGGTTATTGGCATCATTCACTGGAATAGCTGAAAAAAATTAGAATGAATCAGGGAGGAAAGAAAACTGTGTTTGAAAAGGGGCAGGAATTGGACCGTTTATTGTTCTGAAAAAATATTGCAATGGTAACCTTTGGTTTCTAATACTTATGAATCACTTTAAACTGTGGAATTTAAATAAAAAATAAATTAATATCTCCACAGAGTTTACATTATAAGTATAAGGACCTTTAAGATAAGGTAAACATTAATAATGATTAAGAGAATTCAGAAATGCAGATAGAATTAATCATGCATCGAGCATGAGGGGGCTGCCGTGTCAGAAAAACATACAATTCTTTTGTACTTAATTATTTACTTTTTTCATATGGAACCTATGAAATGATTTACAATGCTGCTTCACTTTTGTTTTCATTGTCTTTATGAAACAGACTGATAGAGAACATTTCTTGCCATTCTTGCCACTAGTCCATAGTGCCATAACTGTAAGAATACCACAGGTCTACGGGGTGACAAAATAAAAATATTACCATGTGATGGAGAGAAAGGATCATCTGAAGCATTTAAACATAAAACAGGAACTTCAACAGCGTGAACTTTTTGATGTATACAAGCTTCTTCATAATAAGCCTCCCACGATGGATAACCAAACATCTTAGCTGTAAATCTTTCATCAAATTCACGTATAGTAGAACTCTGGAAATAGAAAACTTATATGAATAAAATTTAATGTTAAGACTTTAAGAGAACCTAACTGTCATTGGTTGAAATATTGCATAATCGCCCATCAGACGAGTAATTTGGGACTAATGTGAGCAAAAAATCCTGCTGTTGGGGCCAATCTAAACAAAAATCCTGCTGTTGGGGATAATATTACATATCGTAACAATAACCTATACAAGAGGATATTTTGAGATTAATACTATTCAGAGGTGTATAACACAATCTGCTTAACATTATACTGGATGGGTATAGAAATTATCAATAAAAATGCACCACAGAAATCACAGGTATTTCCCAGTTTGAATGAATTATCTTCTTTCACAAAACTTACCTTTAAAACATGTTCCATATCAAAATGATGTTCAAACATGTCAATGTTTTTCCGAGCTAATTCAGTGAGTGTCTGCGCCAGAGTTCTGTTAAACAGAAAGAGATTGAGTGGTTGTTCTAGTGATAGCACCGACTCAAAAACATTCCACGCCACGGAAACACAGACACCAGCAACTAGTTTACAATTTTTACCCGTTTTAGCTAAATAATTAAATAATATCATTCTGAAAATAAACAAAATTTACATGTCATTTAAATTTATTACATAACGTCTAATTTTCACAACTTAATTCACACTAAAATGTACTCAAATTTATTATTTAACATTTAATTAAGAAAACAAGCCATCAGTGAGGCTGATGTCCCCTACCTAAATCCCAAAATACATAGATGACATTCATTAATTATATGCTCGTTATCTTTTTATAAAGCATCTAGTAATAAAATTGCTTAACCTGAGCAGCAAATAGTCCAGCTATTTATGTACTTAAACTACACAACAAGTTTTATCACTAACTCAATTGGAATAAAAGTTATGGTTTACAAAATGCATCATAAATCAAAGTGTTGAGGCAGAAAATGCCTATCATTGAACACTGTCAATGCATTCAACTAATGAACAACTACGGTAATTAGAAACAGTTATTGTGTCTTAAACAGTATGAGGGACAGACATGGTGTACAGACAGACAAATAAACTTATTTCAGTAGTCCAGTAAGTGTTTTGTATAATCCTATGTATGGCTTTTCGTAAAATCTCTTCAAGGGCTGACTTTGTCATCACATCTTAAAATTGTTTATTTAGTGTAATCACATCTACAGGTTGTTTAGTATAATCAACTCTAAGGAATTGTTTAGTATAATCAACTCTAGTGGTTGTTTAGTGTATATCTATAACCTACCCTCCTAGTGAAACACCAGTTCCTAGTAAGGGTGCATTAGGATATTTAGATTTAATATGATCCACTACAAATGTCAGATCCTCTGTGTTGGCAGCACAATATGTTCTTGGTGTCTGAAATATAATAAAGTAAAACAATTACAGATAACTTTTCTATGGGAGATCTAGTCGAAGAGACGCTAGGTTAGTTTTGTTTCATTTATTCTTCTGGTCATCCCATTAACATCTAAAGGAAATTTGCATTCTGAGCCTGTATATAAAAGCCAGATATGGCCAATGGATTTCAATATCAACCTTATGAGTTCATAATATTACTATAATAGTTTTCAATAATTTAATTAGCAAAAGCTTACCAACAATCTGGAACCACCAATACCTCTATTATTAAACACAACACATCTAAAAAAAAAAAATGTCAAAATTCACATATTGATATCTGAATGCTTTGATAAATTGTACACTATTTATTTTGTAAATTGTTTCCCTGTCATGGATGCAATTCACCAATCTCAGTTAAAGTGGTAATATGCTTACAAAAGACAGAATAATTTGCAATCATTAATCAGTGTTTAATCATTTGCAGTGATTAATCAGTGGTATTATGTCTGATGATGTTTCAAATATAGTAAGCTTTAAATAGCCATAATATATTACCATTTTACACTATGGAAAGAAGGGAGATAATTTGTGTAATATCTACATGTGTATGAGAGAGAGAGAGAGAGAGAGATGTGGTTAACTCCACTCAACACAAACTAGGTCATTTTGGGACTAACATAAAGTTTTAATTTTATTTCAGTACTTCACTTGCGCATAGGGATCTTTAACAGAGAACCCTTAGAAAACCCACGAAGTTGGAAAGGCGATCCTACTCCTTGTCACGTACAAGCGGGGAACCGAAACCACATCACTTGTCTAAATGACATACCTTATGATGCAATGTGCACGCGTTAATCATTCAGTCACCCCCCACCCCAACTAACAAGCAGGACATCAGTTGTCTAATGAAACCAGAAAGATGTGCATTAACAAGTCCAAAATGAATTGAATGATAGAATACAGTAATAAATTTCTTTTACAATTAAATAAAATAAAGAATTGTGGATTGACAGGTTGGGTGTATAAATATACATGAAAAAGACTGACCTATAACCTAAATTCTGAGCCTCTGTTACCATGTGTAATATATATGATTCATTACTGCTACCTGTATAAGATACATGTTTAAAGTTTCATCATGAAAATTAGGCATTTTCACAAATATGATGGTTATTTGAACTAAGTGCTTCTAACCGGACAAAAGCATGACTTTCTTATCGACTAGTTTAGTATCAGCTGTCCTCAAATAGAGAATATTTCCCAATTCAGTGTCAATTTTCAACTCTGATTCAAGATTGTGGAAGTGAGAAGGAGTATTAGTTGGCTTTAGTACCAATGAATGATGAAGGGAGGCAAGAACGTCACAGTCTGTTGTGACATAAAAAAACCTCAAAAACTCTAACCTGTAGAGTGTCTACAATGTTTCTGTCACAGGGGTAATAACTCTGCAGTTATACCTGAGTCTAAATTTTGATAGGGTTCTTATTTATGACTAGCCAAATAATCTCACCAAAACCAATTATACCATACTTTGAACAGGTCAGCTATGACGTGGGCGTCGGGCGATGACATGTTTTGAAAAGGGGAATGGAAATTATGACAAACATCTGATACCTTTTACTACACCAGCAGAAATTGACGTACCCTGGTGTGAAAAATATTTTTGAAGGCTTTAAGATATAACACGATTAAGAGAACATTAAAGTAGCCTCATTTTTAAATGTCCCTGATCAGAAAAGCATGCCGTGATTGTGATACTCTGTGAGTTTCGTTCATTTGCTATCAAGGTATTCGACAGAAGTCTATACATGTCAACTATAAATGACGATGAATATAATACCTACCTGTTAAACCTGGTAGTAATAATACGGTGGGTCGAATATCCTCCGTGTATCTTTTATTTTCATTATTTTCTGCCCAATCTAATTTAATTTGACCTCCATCTACGGTATAAATAAATTCACTGAAAATGAGACCAATTAATAATTTTTAAACCATAATTTATTCCATCAGCTGAACCCAAATCATATTAAAACTAGATGTTGTTGTCGCATGTAAAGAAAACATATTCTGGTTTTCAGATATTGCTGTGATCCATTTTTATTTCAAAAACAGAAACATTTTCATGATTATCACATGTTCATATTTCTTGTGGTAAAAAAAAAGTAATGCTATTATTATAATACATTTCAGGTTAAAACCAGGGGGCAGAATTAACAAGTACACAATCTTGATAAATGTTATTGGCTATAATAAAATGGCAACAATTTGTTCTTGTTGATCAATATTCAGTCTCTGGTTTAGGAAAATGATGAAACATTACCTACCTTTTATATTGCACTGACGGTTTTGACTGAAGTAAAACCCGAAGGATAGTTTGAGCACGGGATTCGAAACACCAGAATGTTGGCCAATATTTCTCTGCAGCCACTGGACAGTGTTTGTTTAAAAAATTCCATAATCTTTTGTCTTTACAAGCTATTAATGGTTTCTGAAATATAAAGAAATGGTTAGTAGCCACTGCAAGTTTAATATGTACTGAACACAAAAAAACTAGTCAAGAGTAACAACCCATAAAGTAACTATCAGAAATAATTAAAATTTGATTGGCATTCAGTTCCTAATACTAACATTTAATATACCCATAGTCATGCAGATGATAACTTAAAACCAATTTGAGTTATCATCAAAAAGCTCTTCGTCTGAAATTAATCGAATAACAACTTTACCACTTACTAGGGAGGGTCCCACAAGATTTTCAAAACAGATTCAGGGTAAATAACTCTAAAACTAATTATCAGTTTCTTTATCCCACAAAATAAAAAAACAACAACATTGTTTATAAATTTGATAACTATAATTTTTAAGAGCCTCCACAAGATTTTGTAAATTCAGTATAAACTGAAGTCAATCAGATTATAGATAACTTTAACCACATTTCAATGTGGGCGTATGAAAATGTTTATAATTCGTTGAATAGTTTACAAGTACTTTTAAAATAATATTCACAATTTGAAGTGTACTTGATAATGATAATGACTTGTTGAGTTGTTGATCCCAACAGTTGATATCATATAACTGATTACATGTTGTGATGATAAGATACTGTAACTGTAGAGTGTATTTTCTAAGGGAGTTGTTGCTCCTAAAGTTAGCACAGATGGTCTGAGTTTGTTCCTGACAATTTTTCAAAGTTGTGATGGACATGTATTAAAGGTATCACTGACATAGAAAATAGACAAATCTGTACTTAACAATGTCTACATGTATGATAGGGGGCTGACTTCTAGGCTCCATTTTGAGCAAATTAATTGGCTGACGGTTTGGTTGAGTTTATCTAATTTATCTAATACAAAATCTGATTATCTGAATATTGAAAACGGGTTAAATTGATGCGTAAAAACACCACAGTACCAACTAGCGGTGTATCAGATGTATACTGTGTCATAAAAACATAAACAATTCAGGACTAAACTTCTGTTCACCTTAAAGTAGCTATGTCTCTAACTCAATATCATCCAAAATCTTCGACATTGAAAACACAAATAATTTGTCAATCTAAATCAACATTGATGCTATGATCTTACCGGGCAAAGATGGACTTCTGATATCCAATATTTAAGACAAATAAACATTTTACGATTGGTACACAAATCGTGTACCATAATGCGTTTCAGTGTTATTTGTCATAAGGGACTCGAAAAACGAGGCTAGGCATATTCCACAAGTCATGTCAAACGGTAACCTTATCCGGAGAGCATGTGCAATAAATATTATCGGTGTAGACTGGAATAACCAGACGCTAGAAATTGCCTTTCGATTGAGACTTCTGGTGTATTTCGCCAAACATAACTGTTTAGAAATTACAGTAAAAACAGAAACGGTTGAATGTAAATCAGTTTAAATACATTCATATTACATCATTATATACGTTGCGACCCATTTGTGTCAATTTCTAGGTCCCAAATATTAGCAATTTAGCCCCTTTAATGAAATACATTGATGTGTATAAATATGTGTTTTGGGTATGTGACTGCTATATAGGGGCTCATGAACATTCATTGTGAGAAAATCACTTTTTGGGGGGCCTGTACAACAATATATTAAGATTATCTCTAACAAATCACATGGTAAATCATGGATTAGACAATTAAAAGATCAAATGATTTACACTCAGTAACTGGATTAAATAAAGTTCATAAGTCTGTCTTCAACCCTTTAAGTTTAAGTAAAGAGATATTAAGTCGAAATAGACACATATTTTGATTTTTCTAATTATCAAAATTGTGTGCATAAATGCAATAAATCAGTAATTTAAAACACAGATAATATTTCATTTCCTTTTTGATAGTTCAAATTTTGTCTTATTTGTTTTTTTTACCCAGTTAAGATCTTGAAGTTTGAAGAGTTTTTAAGTAAACTGTTTTCTGTCTGCTATAGGGGATTAGCCAATAAAATTGTCTGTTTATTCAAGCTTTGCAAGAGGTGTGCATGGAATTCTGAGAGTCAGTCCCCTTGACTTACTGAGAACAAAAAAGTTTACATATGATCTAAGCGTATGGCTAGACCTCTCTCACAAGTCGGTAAAATCTCCATGGAGTGAAGGTAACCGAAAATGTAAAGAAACGATTAGAAATTTATATTTGTATTTTAATCTGATTGGTCATACATCTAGAGCTATAAATATATTTTATCCATGTGGATGAAGTACATACATGTACAGTACGTACATGTATCATTATAGATTGCGACTCAACTCAATAATTTGAATAAAACTTTCTATGACATGTCAGTATTTAATAAAATACACTTTATTTGCTATTCATAACTAAACATTAATTGTTGTATTTCTTATTGTAAGAATTACTTATCCACATTTGAAATTTTACACCTAGTCGACGTAGCTTACATTTCTAACATTTTACAGTCTCCAAGCTACAAATCCCTAATGCTGGTAGGCTATAATTTTTATTGGCTGCCCTCTAAGAAACTATCAGTGTCACGATAAGTCAGCCTTGCAATATGATGGTACATTATCTGAAATGCAATTTACATGCTTTCCATGTAAGCTAGTTTTGATCATTCCAGTCTACTATTAAACTGTGTATTGATCCAGCGGAGCCTACACCAAATCAATTTTGTTTCCTCTTCAACTAACATAAATAGTCAAAACAGTGACAACATATTATATGCTGGAATAGTTGGGTTCAAATCAATAAGGTGAAACTGTCTGGATGACTATGGGGTTTAACGTCCTACTATGTGCCTTATGAGTGTTCACTTCATTAAGGAACATGACTACACATGAGAAATATTGTTTTTCTAAACAATTATCAAATAAGACATTGCTATTTTATATAATTCCTACTTTGTATCTTGAAAGTAGGTTTCACATTTCATGTTAGAATCTGATTGACGTATATGTACTTAACCGCGAAACTAGAAATGGTAGTGCAATGCCACCAGGCCTATATGTTACTTTCTGCTCAAGCTGCTTGTATACCCCAAATTTCAACCTAAGGCAGCCTTATGTCACAAACCCGAACAGAAAACAATGGTCACAAATTATATATTGTGAAAAAATTCTCCAAGGTCATTGAATATTGCGCTTTTTACAGAAAATTCACATTTCACCTGAAATGTTTTATTAATTTATTAATACTGCCATTCTATGGAAAAGTTGTAATTTGATTAGAAAACATGAACTCTTCAAATTGACAATTTTGAATTTAATGAAATTTTGATTGTGAAAGAAAATAGTTCGGTAACAATTGTGATGATTTGACAGAGGTAAATTTTACCTGGACAGCAGCAAATTTCAATTGCCAGTTTTTCTTTTACATGATTGAATGGCAATATGTATGGGACCTTGAATTTTTTGTACCATCCGAATAACTAGACACTTCAAAATTAATAATCAACTCGTTTCTTTCTATACATGCCAATTTTTCTGGTATAAAACGGTTACAATGCATAATAAATTAATAAAAAGAATCTACCTTCACAACACTGAACAGGTAATAAGTCAAATAAACCACACTTGCAGTAGCCAAAAATGGCAGAGTTGGATTTTCTTTACAAAAATTTAACGTGTTTTGTAAATAGGTAACCATGCTTGATGGATTCAGATATCTCAGTATCGATTGATAACTGGATTGTGATTTGATAAACTGAATATTATCCGACATAATTGGACTTCGACCCACCGGCAAGACGAAAAAAATCCTGACGCTTTGACCTCTTGGACAAAACCATTAGTCAGAAACAATCGATTGAGACAAACACAAGTTGGGCTTTATTTCTGTAGCTTTCAGACAACAAAATGCTGAGTTAGGGTCTAAAGAATTCTTTGGAAAGGTCGTCATATTTTTCGCGTTGAATAAATAGCATTAGAATCAAAAATATTTTTGACAGCCTCACCAAACACCCCTAATATTTACAATGGATCAGTCAAATCTTTACTTCCGGAATTTAGATGAAGACCAGTTATCCAGGCATCGTACTTCATTTTCATAATCTATGTTGGACAAGCGAGACTAATATACACATAAAATGGCGTCTGGAGCACTGTTTGGAAATGCAAGTGGACGAAGCCAGAGTAAAAATCTGGTGGAATTCCGGGCTGGAAAGATGACTTTGAGGGATAAAACGGTGACAGCAGATAAGAGGAAGGGTTTGGTTTATGTTTATCAATCAGACGATTCGTTGATGCACTTTTGTTGGAAAGATCGCACCACTGGAACTTTGGAAGATGTGAGTTTTTTTCGAAATTGCTTTTTCATGACGAGATAAATCAGAGTTAACCCCCTTTATTCGTATTTTTCTTTCTCTCTCCTCACTTATTGTACTCTCAAAATTAAATTCTGTTACTTCTTTAAAATTTTAACAATCTGTCTAAAAGTTACACACACTGTGACTGTTACCGTGGGCGTGGATTTAGGGGGCGGGGGGAGATTACATGTCATTTTGGGACTCACGTCATTTGGGACTCAAAAAAAATATGACCACGACATTTGGGACTCGGGTATACGACGTTTGGGACTTTGGTATACGTCGTTTGGGACTCGGGTATATACGTCGTTTGGGACTCGGGTATACGACGTTTGGGACTCGGGTATACGACGTTTGGGACTCGGGTATACGACGTTTGGGACTCGTATCGGGATAATTTATTAGAAATAGGCCAATTCAAAACACAAAAGAAAATATTTATTAACATGAAACACGTGGTTAGTAAAAGGCTCAACCAAACGATAAAACATTATTAGTTGCACTTACGGTTCTTTGATAATCATCGATACCCCCCCCCCCCCCCCCTTGATTGTAGGTATTCAGTTTTACCAAATTCAATTTGATCCACTCTGAACCGAGAAGATAGCGATTGAATTTTGGGCCTATGGTCTGGATAACTTAATTAATGTTTAATTAATAATTTAGATAACATTTCAGGCCTAAAGAAAGACCTGCAATTGGCAGATTTAGCTCTTGCATAATGTATGTTTATGTACTACATATAAACAGATTCAATTTTGTTAGTCCCCCAGATTAGATAAATGAGGTCATACCTGGAAATTTGTAATTGATCCAGGTTGAATTTTAGTGTATTCATCAGTGAATGTCAACACTTGCAAGCAAATGAAATGAAATGGGGTGTAATGTCCTACTGAGTACTGTTCTGCTCTGACTGGGGTAATGAAGATGGGCACTTGCAAACAAGTAAATGCATGAGGCACAGTAAATAATCAGAATGTCTATCACTACATTCTGATGACACTGAAGACATTTATAAGCTGCCATTGAACAGTACATTGTACCAATGTGTAGAATGGTTTAACAGTTAAAATGGCATTCAACTTTTTGTTTTAGTTTTAGGCCTATCATGGATACATGTTTGATAAGCTATAACTTAGACAAGCTTTCACTAAGTTGAGCTTAGGCTCAAACAAAGACAAGTTGAAATTATATCCACTTTTGTTATCAAATAAGTTTGTAATAAATTTCTTTCCATTTTTAGGATTTGATCATCTTTCCTGATGATATTGAATTTAAGCATTTAGCTCAATGTACAACTGGAAGAGCTTATCTACTGAAGTTTAAGAATTCATCTCGTAAATATTTCTACTGGTTACAAGTGAGTAAATGTAATAAGCTTCGTCAACAAACATGTCTATTGTATTCTGGTACTAGTATATGACTCTCGTACAAATAGATCCTGTTCATTCACAAGAGAAAAAACTATGGAAAATGACTGCATCTTTAAAAGACTTTGAGATTGTAATGAATATGAGCATTTGGTTCTGGTGAACGGATCAAGTCTAATAATATGACACCTGTCACCAACAATGTCTGGCACAAATTATCAGATCAAGGGAGATTTTTGATTTGATAACTTTCTGGCACCTATATGTGAAACTGGAATGTGATTATATGTCCAAGGGTTGTTTTACATGGATTCAAATATTTTATTCAGGAACCAAAGACTGAAAAAGATGAAGATAATTGTCGTAAAGTGAACGATTTTTTGAATCATCCACCTGCTCCAGGTTCTAATAGAAGCGCTGGTGGTAGCGGAGGTCTGCCATCTGATTTATCTGGATTGGGTAAGTTAAATGTTCCTCCACCTAATAAGCCCACACTAATTTAAATAAGTTAACCACTGTTTGAACTTGCCCTAGATTGTTGCCCTAGATTGTCAAGTAAGCTTCACTTGAAGTATTATACCTTGAAAGATATAATAATTTTGGTAACATATATGATTTTTTTCTGGTTGGTTGGACATGATTTGCAAATGATGGTTAACAACTGTCAAAGAAATATATCTTTTAAAAGAGATGAAAATAAACACTTAACATACATGTTCCAAATATTTTAAGACGTGTCACAGTTTAAATAGTAAGAATATATGGATAAATAAATAAGACTTCCGATTACATGTATGTTTGTTACAATGTATTTGTTTTTATTTGTAGGTGATTCTGAATTACAGAATGTTTTAAGTGGAATGAGTCAACAACAATTGATGCAGCTTCTAGGTGTTTATTTTCATTTCTAGAATATCATTAACGTAATATGTGGTTTGAACAACTCCTAGAAATTGCCCCTAGACTCGAACAGTTTTATTTTCGGTGGTATTACATAGGTATTACTAATGGAATTTAGAAAACAGGAATAAATTTCAAGCCCTCAAAAGTTACAAGACTGGCGAGAATAGATATAGCCCCCCCCCCTCTTACCCCAATGTGCTTAAAAGGGAGACAACTATTTTTAACTGTACATGTAGTCTGTTTCTCTAATGTTGTATAAAGCTACTTATTCAGAATATATATTTTAAAGATATTATTTTGTTCTGCAGGGGGAGGATTAGGTCTTGGAGGAGGGGGATCAGGAGGATTATCATCTCTGTTGGGACGTCCTAGCAGTTCTCAATCAACTACTTCGGAACCGTAAGTATTAGACCAAAGAACAATTATGTTCTTACACTATGGGTGATAAGGCCAATTTATTAATATGTTATTTAATTCTTGTCTAAATCTATTTTCTTTTAATAAAAACATTCTATTAAATCTCTGTAACATTTTTATACGCCCACATTGAAATGTGGAAGTATATTGCCGTCGCCCCCGTCCGTCTGTCGGTCCAAAATTTATATGCATTATTTAAATTCGTAAAACAAAAAAGCCTGTCAAATTTCAACAATTTCTGTAGATTACTTCCAGAGTTGAGACCGTTGTTTCAGTTTGTAGAACCTTGTAAACCCTCAAATGACAAAATTTATAATCTGATCTGTATGGAACTGTCTTGTAAAGGCCCCCAATTACCTACAAAGGAATAAATATGCGACAACCCTTGACGACCGCTCAGACGATTTAGCTGCTGTGGGCGTATGTTTTGTTGCCTGGCAACCTATCTTTATTATATGGGGCCTGGTCGCTGTGTCATAACAAACTACATTAATATAAATAATATAGATTTAATAGTATGTATTTATAATGTGCACATTTAATATGCGTATGCTCGTGGCACAATATTGTCAGCTCTCCACATTTACTGGATAAAGTTAATATGATGAAGCAAATAAATATGAAAGCTATAAATTTTCCATGGGACCTCTTGACCAGGCCGCATTTTATTATTAGGGTAGCTAAGAATAGCAATGGGTACAATAAGCTGGTGACCTTATCAACGAATAGTGAATTGTCATCCCACATTACTTCAACTTTCCAACCAGGTCCTATTTTATTCTGGGGGGTTGGATGGCTGAATGGTTAGCGTGCGCGCGCTGTATCATAAAGTCTGTCATTGAGTCGACTGGCGTGGTTTCGAATCCCCGGTTGTACGTGGCAAGGAGTAGGGTCGCCTGTCCAACCTCGTGGGTTTTCTCTGGGTCCTCCGGTTTCCTCCCACTGCTAAAGACCCCTACGCGCAAGCGAATTATGTAAATAAAATTAAACCATATGTTAGTCCCGAAATGACCTAGTTTGTGTCGAGTGGACGTTAAATCCCATTTCTCTCTCTCTCTCTCTATTTTATTCTAAGATTAGTCCATAATAGCAATGGGCACACGAAGCTGGTGACCATAGTGACCAGTAACTAAGGGTTGAAACAAGAAGAAAGGTTCAGTTTCAAGTCTTGAAGCTGTTAAATCCAATAAATTTGATCCTTGAAAGGGCAATACAATAAACTAAATGAATATTTCATAGATACATCAATATTAGTACCACTTCCTAGTTGGACTTTATGAAGCATTGTTACTGGAGAAATAAGCTATTCAACGAAGAAATAGGTGTGAATCTCCATTTTTCACACCATGTCACGTCAAGAGCAATATTTAACTTTTATAATGTCTTCATGTATCCTATAAGCTTACTAAAAATGCATTTTCATCTGTAAATACTGAACTGAACAAAATTAAATAAAAGTGTCTTCAGGAAATCAACATGATATTCTTTTCCTCTATTTTATAGGGGTGTACGACTATCAAGTTCGCGAAGCAGTACAACAGCAGGGGAGACTACTCCCACAACAACACGTCCTGCTACAGCTGCTGCTTTACCCAGTCCAGCTACAACATCTGCTGATAATAATAGTAGTGCTCGACAACAGATACAACTTAGTGATCTACAGAATATTCTCTCTTCTATAAATGGTATGTAATTTATACTAAGAATCTGCTGTGGTCCCCTTAATTTAAGTGAAGGAATGACCATGTTTTTTGCCGCATTTGTTGGTTTAATTTAAAGGACAATATTGGTGACAGTCATTATTACATATGTGATAGAACCGGTTAAACACGTTCCAAATATTATTTTATCACAGAGATCATTGCTACGATAGATGCGTAATCAATGTTTCAACAATCGGAAGTGACGAAACCAAAAGGAAAACACGAGTTATCCCTCTATATAACTGACTGAAGTGACGGGTGGTAACAGATACATGGGCGAATTTCTGCTCACTAATAATTCCTTCGAAGACCAAAAGTTGTTCTGTGAGACAGTGAAAGGACTGTTGAAACATTAATTATGCATCTATCGTAGCAATGATATCTGTGATAAAATAATATTTGGAACTCTGTGATAAAATAATATTTGGAACGTGTTTAACCAGTTCTATCACATATGTGATAATGACTGGCACCAATATTGTCCTTTAAATCTGTTATGCATGCCTGGTATTAGTTAGTATTTGATATTTAGAACTTTGTGTTGGACATGTTTTAAAGTATCAGAAAAACACTGTACCTTTAATGATTCAGAAAAATGAAATTATACATTGTTTAAGTTTTTATAAAAGATCTTATTGTAAATTATGAATGTTTTTTGTCCAATTGGCTTTGTATTTCCATGTAAATATATTATTTCTGTATATTTCAGTGCCACCAACTGAAGAAAGGGACAGTAAGTTTAATAAATTTTGATATGCCCGCATTTAGAATTTTCTCAGAATTACTGCCCCTGTCACTGAAATGTAAAGTAGTCTCAGATCAGAGTTTATAAGAATAGTATTCAGCTGACTGGGATTGTTTTAGCAGGTCATGAGGGAGAAGTGTCTTGAATTTCAGAGCCCCACATGAATTTAATGTGAAGATATTACACCTGTCACTTCAAACACACTGGAGGGGGGAGGATGGATGGCCGAATGGTTAGAACGTGCGCGCTGTACCGTAAAGCCTGTCATTGAGTCAACTGGCGCAGTTTCGATTCCCTGGTTGTACGTGACAAGGGGTAGGGTCGCCTGTCCAACCTCGAGGGTTTTTTCCGGGCCCTTTGGTTTCCTCCCACTGCTAAAGACTCCTACGCGCAAGCGAAATATGGAAATAAAATTGAACCATATGTTAGTCCCAAAATGACCTGGTTTGTGTCGAGTGGACGTTAAACCCCATTTTTCTCTCTCTCTCTCTCTCTCTCTCAAACACACTGTACAGACCAGAGCTTTTGAGAAGCTTTTTTTTTAAATCAAACTTTCTTGAATAACACAAGTGAATTCTTTTCTTTTCCTTATTGCTTTTTGTAGATGATATATTTCACATAGTGTAATTTACATTATAAATTGGATCTTATTCACAGGAGTTGATCTATCCCAAGCATTGAATCCTGAATCTATGATTCCAATATTGGCTAATCCTGATATACAGAGACAGCTGGTGCCATATTTGCCTGAAGGTGAAACTCTACCTAAAACGGAGGGAGAACTACGTAATACTATATCATCCCCCCAGTTTCAACAGGTACTGTACCATTATTCACTGTCCTCACTTTATCTCTTGAAATGACTAAAGACCTGGAGAAACTATTCATCAAACTTCTGTTAAAAAAATAGTTCTTAAATTATATGAAACTGGATGGGTCAATGGTACTTTTATGAAAAATAAAGAATTTTTGGAAATATATACTTTTTATAAAATATAGCTTTGCATGAAATAATATATAGTGAAATTTATTTTCTGTATTACAGGCATTGAGTTCTTTTAGTTCTGCTCTACAATCAGGTGATCTTGGTCCTCTGATGACACAGTTCGGATTAGGGGAGGATGTAGCCAATGCAGCTGCACAAGGAGGTTTGTAATACTGTAACTGTTTAACCAAAGTAAAAGTACTCTTAATTATCTTTTTTAAAAAAGGATTTATTTAATATACTGCATATATATATACTCTTCAAGAAAAGTAGGGGATATTCAGAAACAATACAAACTGTGGAAATGCACTGCTGTTTTTATTAGAGGTAACCAGTGTATGTTAATAACAGGCCAATTGCCTACACGTGAACATAAGCAGTTCATATGGGCAGCTTATCTGATGGCCCCATTTCACTCGCAAAGAGATACACCATCAAAAGTGCAAATTTTTTTTTTTGATTTTTGTCTTAATAATGAGTAATTGCTCCACCAATCCTCAGACATCCAGCAATTCATTGTGGCATGCTCCTAATCAACTGACCCACTCCTCTTGCAGTGCCACGGGCAATTCTTGCAGTGTTGTCCATTGACGTCGACTAACACGTCTCCCGATCAAATTAAATGTAACAAACAAAAGCAAAGATACGCTAAACAGTAAATCTTATGCAAGAACCGATAGGTAAGCAAACATGGATAGATAAACCATTTGACAATGAACCCCTCCCACGTGTAAGGAGCTATTGGGTGTCGCATGTGCAGCTCAGTGGTTCTGTTGGGGCGACAAGTTCTTCATCTGTGAACATACTCTCAAAGCATGTCAGATGTCCATGGCTATTTATCACATCGCAACCTGCATAGCTATTAGCATTTCAATATCCCCTACTTTTTTTGAAGAGTATATAATTGTGTTAAAGATACTACTGCAACGGTGTACTGAATATCATTGGCGATGGGTGGGTAAATCACTTAAGATTCATAACACGTACCTGTCATTTTTGTTTTGTAACATAAAATAAAGTTTAAACCAGAGACCCGCCTTACACACAATACAAAACTGATATAATAAAACTGCGGACAAAACGAACTACATAGACATTGCAAGAAATAAACAACAAATATCGAATCATGTGAATAGATCAGGTGAATCAGCCGTACATTGCGCTGTACAGTCCGTGAACAACTTCACTAAAAATGAAAAAAAAAACCAATGATTTGCAAGTGCAAGATAAATGTCATGCACTGGTCTTGATGGTGGTCGTCTTTTGAATGGCAATAGTCTACCAGTTGACGTCAGGAGTTAAAAAGTCAATTTTTTCTTCAAAACAACAATAAGGGCAACAAAGGTGTTGGCAAACCAAAACATTACATTGGTAATTACTCAGTGTATAAGCTAATTAAACTTGTTGATGGCATAACAGAGATACATTACTTAATAGTTCTTATATGATGAAACCATCTCATCTGTATGTGTAAAGTGTTCATTATACAAAAAGATCCTGTCCTCGCTTACGGGAGGGGGGGGGGGGTGGATGGCTGTATCATAAGGCCTGTCATTGAGTCACTTGGCATGGTTTCGAATCCCCGGTTGTACGTGACAAGGAGTAGGGTCACCTGTCCAACCTCGTGGGTTTTCTCCGGGTCCTCCGGTTTCCTCCCACTGCTAAAAACGCCTACGCGCAAGCGAATAATGGAAATAAAATAAAACCATATGTTAGTCCCGTAATGACCTAGTTTGTGTCGAATGGACGTTAAACCCCATTTCTCTCCCTCGTTAACGGGAGCCACGGTGGCTAGGTGGTTAAGATGCTGGCTCACTAGCCTGGAGGTCGGGTGTTCGATCCCTGCATTGGCCGAGAAGGTTCATTCTGATTTTCCGATGTGGTTTCTCCTTGTCAGTGGTGCAGAACGGAGGGACTGACAAGGACAGCTGTCTAGTCCTTCGGATGAGACGAAAAACCGAGGTCCCGTGTATACATTAGAATGCACGTAAAAGATCCCTTGGCAGTTGGAATTCGATATAAGATTAGGCGACAGTGCCGCTGCCGGGGTAAAATTTCCCTCATAGCACACTGTATGGCGTATGCCCGTCTTCATTAGCCCAGTATAGGAGTAGGACGTTAAACCCCATTTCGTTAACGCCCTGTTGGTGCATGAAATTAGAACGTTAAACCACATATCATTGTGTTTCACAAAAGAAGATTGACTTACTTTGCAGCAAATTAATAATGTTTTCAGGTTTGCATATAGCTTCACTAAAATAAATCATTTGAACTTCTGACAAATGAGTTTTACATTTAGTTATAGGTTGTGGGTTAAATATCTAATTTAATCTAATTTATTTTGTTTTATCAGATATGGAAGCGTTTGTAAAAGCCATGCAGGAAGGGATGAAAAAGGAAGATGATAAAAAGGATGACAAAGGCGATGAAAAGATGGAGCATTAAATAAAATAAAAAAAACATCCAAGTTTATCTTAAAAAGAAGTTTGAAATAAACAATAATGAATAAAATCTGTACTGTTTTTATATGAGTTTATCAGTTTAATAGATTGAATTAATTGCCCTGTAACACTGCTCACAACCAATATTGAAGGCTGTAATTGGTATGGGAATTGTCTGTTGTTCGAACTGGTGTTGGCAGAGAAGTCCCTTGTGCGATTTGTGTTGGCCAAGAAAGTTCATTGGGATTTTTGAGCTAGTTTAACCCAAAACTGTTCAACTGGTCTCATTTGGTCAGCGCTATTTTAGTTTTCAAGCACCTGTTTTATGGAATAATCTACCATTTAGTTTACGATGTTGTACATCTCTATATTATTTTAAAAAACAACTTAAAACACATTTATTTAATTAGGCTCAAAATAAGAAAGGGATGAAAGAACCTGTGACAATTGAAATTAGAAATAAGAGTAGGCTGCTGTTCGGACTAAACGTCCCTCATAGCATGGTGCAAATGCCCCTGGCCTTTAGCCAGCTTGGTGCAGAACACACTGATCAGCAGTGAATTTTCGCTAGGCCTCTACAATCACTGATAAGGATGACATCAATGCGACTTAATGAGCCAGAAATATTAACTTTTTTCCTGCGACAAATTAAATTCTAAAACATTTTTTTTATGTATTGGAAAAATAAAGCCGTTTGAAGTATTTGTAGGTAAAGATTATTTCCTATTTAGTGTAAATGGGTATTAAAATGACTAAAAGGCAGCATTCTGCCCGAAGCAGTAATGTCTTATGTAAACAATGCACGCGCCATTCAGCCAATGATTGACGCCGCGTGCTGTGGCGGCACGTGTTAAGGTAGTCATCTTTGACAGAGATATTACTAGACTCGTAATTCTCTGTGAAACAGATTGGGTGCAGAAAAGTAGTATGTTAAACCCCCATTTCATTCAGTATAATTCGTACTTCCATCTATTTGTTAAATTTTCAATACTAAGTAATAGTTCATCATTGAGTGTAAGTACAGATGAATTCTCGAACCTTAGACACCACACGAAAAGACAATCGGTGTTTTCACCGTAAGGATAAGTTTCTCATATAAATCCAAATGATATAATCTTATGTGACAGTTAAAAGCGTGGAGTACCAAAATAGACATACTGTATTATAAATTTTATACCACAGAATCTGGAGAAACTAACTCCTTAAATCGTGAAGGAAAGTTAGGCAGTAAATCGGCTCACAATCCACTAAAGATCGCAGGCTAGCAATGCCATCTAGAGTTGATTATGGTCTGAATAAGGTAATTAATGTCTAATTAATAATTTAGATAACATTTCAGGCCTAAAGAAAGACCTGCAATAGACAGATTTAGCGCTTCCATAATGTAGGTTTAATTTGAAATAATACCCAAAAATCTTTTAATTCGATGTGTTCACCTTTTGCATCAGTGTAATCAAATTTTATTTCTAAATAAGTTACTAAAAGAGGAATACGAAAATTCTGAACAAATTTGGCAATCATGGAACAGCTCATCACATACATTAATAATGAAAAATTAATCTCTGAGATGTACAGAATAGTAATAGTTATAATTTTTGTACAAATTTGGCATTCGTGGAATATCGATCACAGAAAAATAATGAAGAATTTATATATCAATTAAGAAAAATAATAATTGCACAATCAGATTAATATAAAAATAATTAAATAATATTTAATATTAACAGATTTTGATAGAATTTGTTTCTTTTTGGTATCACACAATCGACGTCTCGTATTAAAAAAAGCAAATTTAATCAACTAAAAAAGCAAATAATTAATCCATTTTTAATTCTAAATATTTAATCTAGTGAGAAACAAAATACCTATTAGAAAATATTATCACCTCCTTTTGAATAAATAATACTGTTTAAAATGGCGATTGAAACTGTAACAGCTATTTTTACATGAAATAATATATCCAGGGCAGGGGCGGATCCAGGAATTTTTGCAGGTGGGGGTTTGCCAGGTTCCTGAGACAATGTACCCCCCCCCCCCTCCCGCATGGTCTCTATCGTCATTTTGGCGTATATACATACACATTGAGCTTTTTAACAGAGAAATTCAAAACCTCGTTTGACGTCAATTTTTATTATGAATTAATACAATGACATTGTGATTCAATTTCATGGATGCAAAGCATTAATTGTGATATCACATAATGTCTATATCATTATCTCGTGCTTTGAGTGCCCATCCTGCCTGTCCCATATCTGACGATAAAGGATAAAGCACACGGCCGAGAAACATTTCTCATAAAAAGTTTTGATTTACAAAAAAAATTATGTAGCTGAGCGGGGGGGGGGGGCCTGGATCCGCCCCTGCAGGGAGTATTCACATTAACCAGAAAATGGCTCCATCTGGTTTCAACCGGTAGCCTGAGTTGACTCTGTATCTCTAAGAGTCGACTCATTGCAAGGGTCTCCAGTTTGGCAGATATACATCTGTTAAGTTTTCTTTATCATAACACTATGGTTCCTATTTTTATACAGACTACAATTGATTCGTCCAGTTATTTTCTATTGTTCCTGTGCAATTCAGTGCTTTTCAACAACCCAGATATACTCTTTGTTTTATAACCTTTTATAATCAAAGTTATGGTCAATATTTGTAGCCAAAAATGTTTAGGTTAAGTTCAATATTTGTAAAAAAAAGAAGAAAATGTAAAGTGCCGAAACAAACAGAGAACTGAGTCAAACTACAACACCGGGTTTGCGAATTTTGTTCTGTTCTGTTGGTTTTTTTTGCGCCGATTTTGTCGTAACCTTATTAATCACAACTTATTTGTACAACACGGCGTTCATCTATATTGTAATTGTGTAGAAAGTAATATCTTTAACGTAGAATCGCCATGGTATATATTATGGTAATCAGCTAGTCTCTGAATACACACTATTGTATTATAATTGGTTTTAAGGATGCATGACCGGTGAGGGTCGAACACTGTTGTGACCTCCACTACCTGAAAAATAGAATAAAAGTATTTTTGTATTATTATGAATATTATTATCATCAGAATATACATAGGTCTATATTGTTGGAACACCTCCCCCCAGACACACCACCGTTCTCCCCTCCCGCTTTGCTAGAAGGGTTTGATCGTAAAATTTAAATTTCTATTAAGAAGTAACAAGTTTGAATTCAGTGAGTACACCTCCCACCCTTACACACTCCCACCTTTACACACTAACTACATGACATAACATACCCTCGTTAACTTTAAAGGAGCTAAATCGCTAATATTTTGGACCTAGAAATTGGCACAAATGGGTCGCAACACATATAATAATGTAATATGAATTTATATAAACTGTTTTACATTCAATCGTGTCCGTTTTACTATGAATTGTCATCAGTTATGTTCGGCGAAATACGCCAGAAGTCACAACCGCAAGTCAGTTTCTAGCGTCTGGTTATTCCAGTCAACACCGATATTATTTATTGCGCATGCTCTTCAAATAAGAACATGATATCACCGTTTGACATGACTTGTAGAATACGTCTAGCCTCATTCTTTCAACATCTTGTTGCAAATGGCACTGAAACGCATTATGGTACACGATTCGTGTACCAATGGTAAAATGTTTATTTTGTCTTAAATATTGGATATCAGAAGCCCATCTTTTCCAGATAAGATCACAACACCAATGCTGATTTAAATTGCAAAAGGATTAGTGTTTTTAATGTCGAAGATTTTGGATGATGTTGAGTTACGGACTTAGCTACTTTAATATGACTTGTCGATACGGTAGTACCTGGTCGTGATCTGAAAAATACAAAATATAATTCAATGCATTAGTTCTAAATCTAATGAGGAATCCCGGTGTGAAATGGGAAGGATTAGAGTTTAATGTCGAGTCAACACACCGAGGATATTCTGGGACTAACATGTGACATTCAGGGGCGGATGCAGGAATTATTGCAGGAGGGGTTTGCCAGGTTCCTGAGACAATGTATCCCCCCCCCCCTCCTCCCGCATGGTCTTTGTCGTCATTTTGGCGTATATACATACACATTGAGCTTTTTAAACAGAGAAACTCAATACCTCGTTTGACGTCAATTTTTATTATGAATTAATACAATGACATTGTGATTCGATTTCATGGATGCAAAGCTTTAATTGTGATACCACATAATGTCTATATCATTATCTCGTGCTTTGAGTGCCCATCCTGCTCACATCTGACGATGAAGGATAAAGCACACGGCCGAGAAACTTTTCTCATAAAAAGTGTTGATTTACAAAAAAATTTATACAGATCCCCCCCCCCCCCCACGCGGGACATATCAATTTGCGGCGCCTAATTGTTGCAGCACGGAGTAAAGGGGGTGGAGTGGGGGTAGTAGCATTTCAAGTTTACGCCATTTCGAGTATGTCCGGGATATTAATGACAAGGAGTAGGATCGCCTGTCCAACCTCGTGGGTTTTCTTCGCGTCCTTCGGTTTCCTCCCACTGTTAAAGACCCCTAAGCGCAAGCGAATTATTGAAATAACATTGAACCATATGTTAGTCCCGAAAGACCTAGTTTGTGTCGAGTGGACGTTAAACCCCATTTCTCTCTCTCTCTCTCTCTCTCTCTCCCCGGGTTTTATGCATCGATTTGAGAGAAATACAAATTGGCCATTGGGGTTTGACGCATATCTTTATTTTATTAATTTATTTTCACTTCTAGAGCTGGAGTCATTAGATGTAACAGAAGAATATCCACACAATACTGGAGTTGAATTAATCACAGGGTTACAACTATGATACCTCATAAGTAAACCATGAACATGACTTTAATTCAATACGTACGAGTAGTTATCGCCTCCGACAATATCACTTCCATTGTTGCAGCACATGCCCGATCCACCGCCTCCACAGTTCCCTAAACAGAAGCGACAACACAGGAACAACAGAAGGGCCAACAATGCTACTCCAAGTAAACTTAGCATAGCTATAGCTGCTGGCGACTTCAGGAAATCTTCTGAACTCGATGAAGCTTCTACACTCGCCTTTGCGTCTGCTCCTGCTCCGGCGTCTGCTTCTGCGCCCGCTCCAGTACCTGTTCCAGGATCTTGAGTAACGGGGACTATAATAGTGTTCACAACTTCAGGTGGTTCTGAAAATAAAGACAATATTATCACAATACCTGCCCCAGGCGTCATAAAATTGGCAAAAACAGAATGATGCTAGACAAGTCCTTGAATTAGCGTGTAAGAATGTAAATATACATGTATGGTATATCAAGGTTGTGGACTCTCTAAAGGCCACAATTTTGATTCGATTTTGATGAACTTTTAATTTATGTTTATATCACTAAGACATTGATTCCTTTTGATGATCGCGCATATCCGAACTTAACTTCATTACCTTTATTGTTCGAAAATGCGCATTTTTAGCTTCTGGACCCGCTAAAAGTCACAATTTGTATTCAATTTTAAAAAACGTTTCAATATATCACCGTCACATATCAATGAAAGTTGAGTTCAAATTTGGTAAAAATCTAACCCGAACTGCCGGACAAAATGGCCGCCCTTTGCACGCAAATAGCGTAAAAGTATGTAATAGCAAGGTTGTGGACCCTCTGGAAGTCACAATTTTTATACGCCCACATTGTTATGTGGACGTATCGTTTTATTGTCGTCGCCCCTGTCCATTCGCCCGTCTGTGTGTCCATCCACAATTTTTATCCGATTTTGATGAAACTTTAAATTTATGTTAATATTCACAACGATCTTGGTTCCTTTCGATAATCGCGTATATTCCAAAGTAACTTCCTGGATTATGTCCCCTGATTGTTCGAAAAATCGCATTTTTAGCTTGTGAACCAGCTAGATGTCACAATTTGTATTCAATTTTAAAAACCGTTTAAAAATATCACCGTTACACACCAATGAAGGTTGCATTTTGTAAAAGTCTGACCGAAACTGCTGGACAAAATGGCCGCTCCTTTAACGCAAATAGTGTAAAAGTATGTAATACCAAGGTTGTGGACACTCTAGAAGTCACAATTTTATTCGATTTTAATGAAGCTTGACATGTATATTTATAATCCAAAGGTCGTGTTTCCTTTTAATATTTACGCATATCGGACTGTAACTTCTTGGATTATGGCCCCTGATTGTACGAAAAATTACGTTTTTAGCTTGTGAGCCCTCTAGAGGTCACAATTCATATCCAATGTTAAAAAACGTTTAAATTTATCACCGTTACATCCTAAAGACGGTTGAATTCCAATTTCGTGAAAATCGGGTCAAAACTGCCTGACAAAATGGCGACTCCTTGTACGCAGATAGTGTAAAGGTATGTCATACCAAGAATGTGGACGCTCTAGAAGTCAGTCACAATTTGTATCCGATTTTGATGAAACTTAAAATATATGTTTATGGCCCAAAGATCTTGGTTCCTGTCGCTATTTGCGTATATCAGTCCGTAACTTCCTGGATTGCAGCCTCTGATTGTACGAAAAATCGTGCTTTTTAGTTTGTGGATTCTCTACAGGACACAATTTTTTTATCCGATCTTAAAAACCGTTTAAATATATCACTATTCCACCAAAATGGCCGCTCTTATCCGATTTTGATGAAACTTAAAACATTTCTTTATATCCCAAAGATCTCAGTCCCTTTCGATATTTGCGCATTTCAGACCATCACTTTCTGGATTATAGCCCCTGATTGTACGAAAAATCGCTTTTGTTGTTAGCTTGTTCTCTATCCATCTCATGCAAAATGTGGGCGTATCTTGCCTGGCAACCACTGGTTTTGGGATGAACAAGAATAATTGTCTATGAATGACCACAGGGTATTATCGCATGGTTCCATGCATTTAGAGTGAAACATACCTTGATAAACAACATCAAAAAGAGTTGTTGAATATAAAGTCCCAGGATAAATTCCCTTGTCTATAGCTTTTATACTGCAGCTGAAGATAGTGCCGTAAGGGATCCCGCTCGTTGCCAAATCTTGTTTTAATCTTATGGTTCCATCCCCCAGCACTCCTATATAAGGATCGCCACCATTTGAGCAGCCTTCTAAATAATATTCAATTCTCCCATTGGTCTTTTCCTCAAAATCTTTATCTGTAGCAGCCACCTTTCCAAGAAACTTTCCGACGGGATCGCCTGATACGATATCAGTACCCTTGTAAGCAGCCTGATCAAAGAGAGGAGTATTGTCGTTGTAATCCCAAATATTTATGGTAGCGGTTGCGGTTGCGGTTGACGTAGGATCATCTGGAGGCGTACCTGATCCAGCCTTATCTTTCAGGGTCATCTCCAGTTCAATATTCTTTCCGTCGACGTTGTCGGGCTTATCTAATGGATAATCGCCGACTAACTGTATCTGGCACTTGGCCGCATCAATAACTTTGAAATATTTAGCCTGTGGTCCTTTTATCTCTAGAGTAAGTTCATCGCCCTGATCCGGATCAATACCTCGGCAATCCAGATCTATTATTCCTGTGTCTTTCTGTAATCACAAATATTTCATTTTAATACTTTTTCTATATATACGTCTTAGCTTAGGCCATAATTATGGTTCAATTCGTCGGCCTGATTCGCTTGATTTTGCACTTATTGTTTTAAAACCACGCACCAAATTAGGATTGATTTCGACTACCATTTAAATGCCTAATTAAACAGGGCTGACAAAGTCTTAAAGGATGATATCGATCTATTCTTGTCTTGGGTTACATATATAACGGTCGTTTCACATTTTGATTAATATAATGTTACTTCTATTTTACCCCGTGTTACTGGCCTTTTTAGCTGTATAAATATATAATTTCTAAGCTTTATAAATATATAATTCTTGAGTGACATTTAGCGATTACAATTTAAATGGAAAACAGTTAGTGGTTATACAGCATGATGTTTCGTATTCTTGAGCTTGAAAACAAGAGAATACCGACAAACATGTTGATAACCGGAATTACTATGATCTAATTGTCATTATAGTTAGCCTACCTCTGAAATATT